GGGAAAGAAAGGTAGGAGGCAATGAAAACCAGTGCCAATATTGGCAGTGGAAACCAAGTGTCCCATGTCCCAACACTAATTTCACTAGCTCCAAGCCCCTTAAAGATTAAGCATGGCCACTGAATAAAGACATAGACAATTCAACAGGAGACTGGATGACAACATACATCTTTTTCCTGGATGGTGCACTCCTTGCAGTAGTAGGCGTCAGACACTCCCGGACCCCCGCAGATCACACAGCGTCCTTGGTATGAGCCATAGTTACACTCATCACATATGCGCACGAGAGTGCAGGGCCGCACATAGGAGTCACAGATCACGCATTTGCCATCACCTGCAAGTACAGCAGAGCCTCTGGTTACAGAACGTCCTCTCCTCCACCCCCACATAGAAGAAGAAAAGCTTCCTAGTTAAAGAACTTGCCTGTGCACTCAAAGACAATATAAGTGAACTGCAGAAATTTACCTTGCAGGCAGAGAAATTTACCTTTGCATTTGCACAGACTTGAGAGGAACAAGGGCCAGTAGCCTGCAATATCTGAACTCCAGAGAAGAAACCCAAAGTAACTTCTGTGATTAGCCAACACCTGCTTAGATCATACCATTAATTTTACTCTAGAACTTTTCCTTAGTTTTCCAATTTTGAAAAAAACGCTGGACTGACAGGACTAGTGTCCTTACCTACACAGAAGCAGCAGTGTAAGCTTCTCCCACAGTGCCACATCAACAAAAGTCTGGAGTTACTATCCTCAAAGAGATGCGATAAGAGATTGTGCTTGTAGTCCTTTTAATCCTTCATCTGTGAGAAGGCCAAAGAAAGGGCAAACTGGCATAAACAGCCATTTCACAAAAGTTGCTCTTGCTTTCTCACAAGGAACTGACTGAAATACAAGTACTCATATCATACAGGCAAGCAGCCATCAGATGCCATGGACAGTCTCTGCTGTCCTGGACCTTTTCCAAAACACTGACCTAGGAATGAAAGGCCTCATATCCTATTACCAGTTCCCAAGGCATCTAATCCTGACTCCCACAAACAGCTCATCTAACCTGCTCTTAAACCTGCAGCACAACAGCCCTCAACTACTACCAATGGGAATCTGTTTCACTGCTGAATGCTCTTGAAAACAATCTTGTTGCTTCAGACTGTCCTTCTCCCCACTTTGCTTATTTTCATACTATTTTTGAATTATGAACTAGTCATCTTATTTGTTCTGTTCCCCTATAAGGACTTAATGACACATCATTTCTTCCCTTCTACAGCTGAGCACCAGCATTTGATTCCGTGAGGTTTTTTTCTGCTCTAACTCTAGATGTTCCCCCCACCCCATTTCTTATTCTCCTACATGCTGAAGAGAACCTTTCTCAAGGTGTGAAGAAGCCAGATTCCAAAAATGCTTTTTTTCCCCCTATTTTGAAATGATCAGGCTGATCATTTTGTGTTACAGATTACATGGAACCAATCAAGAAGTCACTGTAGCTTCAGGTACTGAAAATGCTGGCAGCATATACACAGCATGCATTTTTGTGATAATCTATTTGAGCACATAACTTTGAAAATACTTATTGATTTACACTTACGCTACACAAGTAACTCTTCCCATCTCAAAGAATGACTTCAAGTTCATAGTTAAAGCAAAAATAGAATCCAATCCCCAGATCCAAACTGTATGCTCTAACCACAATATGTAGAAACCGTACTTACATTTTTCACAAAGTCTTCCAATAGCTGTAATAAGAAAAAGAAGAAAAAAAATTATTTGAGGCAGAAGCAGGAGAAAAATATAAGTAACTACAAGCCTGAATACCAAATAATTGTCTTCTGCAGTGAGGAGTCTTTAAAAAAAAAAAAACAAAACATAAGCCACAGAAACATTTTGAGCATAAATACAAACATCTATGATTAACAATATATATCCCCTGCATATATTCACCAAAATCAAAGTCTTGATGCACTGTGCATGCATTCTCACTGACAGTAAGAAAACCTACATTCATTATTCCATTCCAAACATAGACAATGTACCTGACCAAAGGAAATCCTATACGTGACTCTTGGTATAGCTTTTAGAACAGTTTTAATGAAGCAGAAAAAAAACGTATCTATTTAACACTGCCCATATACTTTGTTTACTTCAGAATACAGAGTTAGATGTATCTTGAAAGTCTTGTCTCTTATCTAGGAAACTGACAACTATGTTGTTAGTAACCTGGATAAATGCCATAAATATCAAATGCTAAGGACCAGATGTCCACCTTAACAAAGACTAAATAGTGATTCAGTTTAAGTTTGAGGATGAAGGGATTTGTCACTGTGGAAAATAATCTTCAACACAGACTGTTAGCTGCATCAACTATTCCAAAAAGACGTTTCCTGTGGACAGTGCAGCTGAATATTTCGCGTTTACAGTCCTTTCAGAAAATTGTATGCTAAATTTGCTTTCCCAATATGGAATGAACAAAAAAATCTGAAAGAGAAATCTCGACTTCTGATTTTGTATAAGACTTCTTTAAGACTTAGCAGGGTAAATTCTGACCCAACTGACAACAAAGCTCATTCTCTATATACAGGTATAACCTAATAAAGGATTTTATCTTGCAGCCAGAAAGATGCTCCCAATGCTGGCTGAGGCCTTCAGCTCATTCTCTTGGCTGCACTGGTATGGCCAGCACCACAGGAGCAAAGTACATTAAAACAGTGTTTTTCTGAATACAGCCGTGAACTCCATCTGCCTTCCCCCCGCCGAAGGAAGCAGAGGCTGCCGTTACGCAGGCGCTGAAGCTCTCCAGCCGCACAGGAACCCCCGCACGTCAGTACGGACCCCGGGGGAAGCGCCAGGGCACGGCCAGGGGCCTTCCTCACAAAGCCTCCTCCCCCACTGCGGGGGAAGAGCCCACAAACCCCGGCAGAACACCAAAATACAAGTGAAA